TAAACCAAGATGAGTTAAACCAACTTAACATACCCATATCAAGCATCGAAATAGAAACAGCAATAAGAGACCTCCCATCTAAGAAAAGCCCAGGACCAGATGGATTTACAGCAGAATTCTACAAGGCCTTCAAAGCAGAGCTCACACCAAATCTTCAATGAAATTGAAAGAGAAAGTTCACTATCGAACTCTTTCTGTGAAGCCATAATAACCCTCATCCCAAAACCAGGCAGGGTCTCATCATTTCTTTGATGAACATTGATGCAAAACTTCTCAACAAAATTTTAGCCAATCGACTTCAACAATTCATCCAAAAACTCATACACCACAATCAAACAGGATTCATTTCAGGGATGCAAAGCTGTTTCAATATATGCAAATCAATTAACATAATTCATCACATCAACAGGAGCAAGGATAAGAACCACATGGTTATCTCAATAGATGCAGGAAAAGCATTTGACAAGATCCAACACCCCTTTATGATGAAGGTTCTGGAAAAACTAGGAATCTAGGGAATATTCCTCAATACAATAAAGGCTATATATGACAAACCTACAGCCAGCATTATACTTAATGGTGAGAAACTAAAGCCATTTCCTCTAAACTCAGGAATGAGACAAGGATGTCCACTCTCTCCACTTCTCTTCAATTTAGTATTAGAATGCCTAGCAACAGCAATAAGAAAAGATGCAAACGTAAAAAGGATCCAAATTGGGAAATATGAAGTAAAATGCTCCCTCTTTGCAGGTGACATGATCTTGTATTTAAAGAATCCCATGGACTCCACACCCAACTTACTCAAGCTGATTCAAAACTTTGGCAAATTAGCAGGGCATAAAATTAACCCAGCAGGGCTGGGAAGGTGGCTCAGTGGTAGAGCACTTGCCTTGAATGCCTGAGGCCCTGGGTTCGATTCCTCAGCACCACATAAGAAAAAAGAAAAAAGCCGGAAGTGGCATTGTGGCTCAAGTGGTTGAGCGCTAGCCTTGAGCTGAAGAGCTGAGGGACAGCGCCCAGATTTCAGGTCTCATGACAGGACCCCCCCAAAAAAAACACAAAAAACAAAAAAGGGCTGGGAAGGTGGCTCAGTGGTAGAGTGCTTGCCTTGCATGCATGAAGCCCTGGGTTCGATTCCTCAGCACCACATAACAGAAAAAAAAAGCCGGAAGTGGTGCTGTGGCTCAAGTGGTATGGTGCTAGCCTTGAGCTGAAGAGCTGAGGGACAGCGCCCAGGCCCAGAGTTTAGGTCTCCGACTGGATCCCCCCACACACACACAAAAAAAAAAAATTAATGGCTTTTCTGTATGCCAACAATGAGAAAAGTGTGGCTGAAATCAGGAAAGCAACTCCATTCGTAATAGCCCCATAAAAAATAAAATACCTAGGAATTAACCAAAGAAGTGAAGGACCTCTATGATGAAAACTTTGAAAACCTGAAAAAGGTAATCAAAACAGAACTTAGTGGAAAAACCTCCCATGCTCCTGGATTGGAAGGATCAACATCGTGAAAATAGCAATACTTCCCAAGGCTATCTACAAATTCAATGCGATACCTATCAATATTCCAACCTCATTCTTCAAGGAAATAGAAGAGGCAATCCAAATATTCATATGGAACAATAAAAGACCCTGAATAGCAAAAATGATCCTTAACAGAAAAAACAGTGCTGGAGGAATATCAATACCAAATTTCAAACTCTACTACAAAGCCATAGTAATCAAAACAGCTTCGTACTGGTACAAGAACAGACCTCAGGACCAATAGAATAGAATTGAAAACCCAGAAATGAGCCTACAGACCTATAACCATCTAATCTTTGATAAGGGAGTTAAAAAAATAGAATGGAAGAAAGACAGCCTCTTCAGTAAATGGTGCTGGCAAAATTGGTTAATCATTTGTAGAAAACTAAACCTAGATCCTTATATATCACCCTGCACCAGAATCAACTCCAAATGGATCAAAGACCTTGGAGTCAAAGCAGACACCCTGAAAACATTACAGGATGGAATAGGAGAAACCCTAGTTCTCCTTGGCACAGGCCCAAATTTTCTTAATAGAGACCCAGAAACACAACAAATCAAAGAAAGGTTAGACAAATGGGATTGCATGAAATTGCAGAGCTTCTGCCCGGCAAAGGCCATAGCTAGCAAGATTGATAGAAAAAGCCCACGGATTGGGAGAAGATCTTCACTAGCTTTACAACAGACAAGGGTCTCATATCTAAAATATACCTGAAACTGAAATAATTAAATCCCCCAACAACAAATCCTCAAAGAAACAACTGCCCAATAAATAAGTGGGCTAAAGACTTTCAGAGAAACTTCTCTGAAGAGGAAAGAAGGATGGCCAATAGACACATTAAGAAATGTTCAACCTCCCTAGCCATAAAAGAAATGCAAATCATGGGGCTGGGAAGATGGCTCAGTGGTAGAGCGCTTGCCTTGCATGCCCGAGGCCCTGGGTTCGATTCCCCAGCACCACATAAGCAAAAAGAAAAAAAGCTGGAAGTGACGCTGTGGCTCAAGTGATAGAGCACTAGCCTTGAGCTGAAGAGCTGAGGGACAGCGCCCAGAGTTCAGGCCCCAAGACCGGACCCCCCCCAAAAAAAAGAAATTCAAATCAAAACATCAAAACAACATTGAGATACCACCTTACCCCAGTCAGAATGGCTATAATCAAGAACTCTACTAACAATAGATGCTGGAGGGGATGTGGACAGAAGGGAACCTTACTGCATTGTTGGTGGGAGTGTGAACTTGTTCAACCACTTTGGAAAGCAGTATGGAGGTTCCTCA